TTCTCCAGGCTAAGTCTGTCTCTCTCCCCATCCCGAGGAGGAGGAGGAGGAGGAGGAGGAGGAGGAGGAGGATGATGATGATGATGATGATGATGATGATGATGATGATGATGTGCAGCACAGAACGTCCGCGTGTTTCCCGCCCTGTCGGGGCTGAAATCGCGGTCGGGCTCCGGCTGTTGCTGTTTCCTGTGCTCAGGTCTCGGATGCCACCTCCTGGCTTTGCTGCTGAACTGTCCATGTCGTGACAGCGCCGGCCGGGAGCGCATTTCTCATCACACCATCCCAAATAACAACCCTGTTGAAGCCTGCCCTGGCTCAGAGCAGCTTTTGTTCTCTGTGGAGCTGACCCCATAGCGTGTGTTTTTTAAACACGATGGAGTTACTTTCTGTAATTAAAGACGCTCAGGATCCCATTGCAGCAACACCTTGAGTCCCAAGGCCTCTCTGGGATGTCCCCCATCCCTTCGGGGGTGGGATCTGTCCCCCCTCCACCTTTCCCTAGCAGATATTTTTGGGGTGATTTTGTTACATGATCCCTGTAGCATCCGTTGTTTATCACCTGTGTCTTTCCAAGGGTGTTGGGATGCCAATTCCAAGTCTCTACAGACTTGTTGCTGGGTTGGGGGATAATTCAACAAGAAGATGTTTGGCAGGGGGAGAGCAGAGGTGTTCCTGGAGCTGTGAGAGTGTGGTGATATCCAAGCAGAACTCCTGAGAGGGGGCACTGTGCCACAAGGAATCGTGAGGCAGCCACAACGCTGCCTCCTCCCTGCTTGGTGTCCATCATTCCCTGCCTCTTCCTGCCCTCCTGGTGCTATTTCAGGCCTGGCTGAGCTTGCTTGTACAGCTGCCAGCCCAACCTGCCTCTTCCAGAGGTGCTACCGAGCTCATCCATCATTACACATCTCAGACATTCATTTTATCTGCCCCACAGATGTGTGAGGCTCCCTGACCACAGGAGATCTGCTCCTCACCCTCACAGGGGTGGACAACACATGTTTGCCTGGGAATCCCAGCAAGCTTGCATGAGATGCAGCTTCTTGCCACAGCTCAAATCCTGTGCTCAGCTTCGGGCCCCTCCTGACATTGAGGGGCTGGAGCATGGCCAGGGAAAGGAACTGAGCTGGGGAAGGGGCTGCAGCACCAGGAGCAGCTCAGGGAACTGGGGGGCTCAGCCTGAGAAAAGGAGGCTCAGGGGGGACCTTGTTTCTACAACTCCCTGACAGGAGTGGGCAGATGGGGGGAAATTGGGCTCTGCTTCCAGGGAACAAGCGACAGAATGAGAGGAAAAGGGCCCAGGTTATGCCAGAGGAGGTTTAGGCTGAGTGTTGGGGAAAATTCGTTCCCTGAAGGGGTGATCAGGCATTGTAAGGGGCTGCCCAGGGAGCAGTGGAGTGACCATCCCTGGAACTGTTCAAAGATGTGGTGATTGGGAATGTTGGTTTGGTGGTGGCAGTGCTGGGGAATGATCTTAGAGGGCTTTTCCAGCCTTAAAAATGCTGTGATTCTATGATCCATGGAAATCAGCAGGGAGCAGTAGCTGCTAAATCCTGCTGCAGGATGGAGCTGGGGCTCTCTGTGACATTTCCCCACAGCTGTGGCCATTGTTCTCTGCCTGATGGACAAACAGCAGGCAGGTCAGCACTGATGCCCACAATGATCTCTAGCCATGATGGCTTCAGCCTGGGAGAGGACAGGGAAGAGGACAGTGGCAGCGGGGCTGGCACAGACCAGCAGATGGGAATTGCTGGGGTTTGATCCTTTACAAAACCCTTTGAGTTGTTCTTCATCACATTTTGCAGAGAAATGGGTGAAAAGCACTGACATGACTGAGCTGCATATGGGGACCCTCAACCATCAGCAGAGGTGTGTGGGACATGAGGGGAGCACCAGTGCTGTGGGATGCCCCTGCCCCAGAGCTCTGTGAGCAGCACATCCTTGGATGAGCGCTGCTGTGAGATCACCTGAACCCCTTCCTACCTCTCTGGGTGCAGCAGAGACAGAGTTTTGGATCTGCCCCCCCTGGCTGGCTGTGATCAGCTCCAATGGGAGCAGCTTATCCAGTACAGCCGTGCTGAGAGGCCCTTTTGCATCCCAACAGCTGGATTTTCTATTCCCAAAGTGTTCCTTGCCTCAGTGCCCAGACCACACACTGTGGCAGAGCACAGCATGCTCAGGAAAAGAGAGTCCAAAAGCTCCAGGATTTATCTTTTGTCCCACCGTCAAAACAAGGAAAAGATGAGTTTCCAGTAAAAAAAAACAAAAGCAGGACAAAAGCAGCCTTTCCCCCCTATATTTTTCCAGCCTCAGTGTCATCCTCTCTATTCCCTGGCAGGTTTGTCCTTTGGCTATGGGCTGACATACCCAGGCAGCACAAGGACCAAAGGTGCCATGGACCTGCACCCTTTCCCTGGTGATGCCAACAGAGCTTCCCTGCACCTCGAGCTCCATCCTGTCTGCTGATGGGGATATTTTGGGGACATCCCGTGTCCCCAGATCCCCTCCCAGAGGGTGTCTCCGAGCAGGACCCCATCGGGAGCAGGCGGGTGGGGCCGGGGCAGGGCTCACGTGTGCCCGCAGCCGGGGAAGGGACGCCCGGGGACCCTCGGAGCAGCCGTGACCTACTTTAGCTCCGAGGCGAGCCCAGGGTAAAAGCTTCGTAGAGCCGGGCGTCAATTATTCATGGCCTGGCCATGTTAATGCATGTGCTAAAGGCTTTAAAAAAAAAAAAAAAAAGAAAAAAACCCGAACAGGATGAAGTCTGCTGTATAATTTAAAGCTCCCGTCACCATGCCCCGCTGCTCCCGGAGTGTTTCCGCTCAGGTGAGCAGAGATGCGGATGGAGGCCGCAGGGAAGGGCCGGCCCGCTGGAGCTGGGATGGGGGCGGGAGCTGGGATGAAGGCAGAGCTCCAAAGCTCGGGCTGCGGGCGGGGGGATCCCATGGGAAGGGGCTGGCAGCGCTGCTGTGTGCGGGCAGCCCCACAGCGAGTCACTTCCCGGAGCAGCAGCGCTCGCTCCACTCCATTCCCAGGCACGGGGGCCAGGCCGCCTATTTTTAGATCTGCCTTTTTTCTTTTGCTAATTTTTCTTTCTTTTTTTTTTTTTTTTTTTTGCTTGCTTTCGTTCCACACTGCCCTCGAAGGGCTGAGGAGAGAGGAAAACACTGATCCCTGGGGCGGGAAGCTGCGTGGGAGGGCTCCGGAGTGCCCCACACAGGGGTCAGCCAGCCGGGCCATGGGGACACTGAGGCACCCAGGGAGAGCCCCGGGCCCCGCACGGAGATTCCCAGCGGGACAAGCAGCCCGTGGCTCCCACAAGGAGATTCCCACTGGGACATGCAGCCCCTGGCTCCCACAAGGAGATTCCCACTGGGACATGCAGCCCCTGGCCCAGGGCTGCCATTCCCACCGGGACATGCAGCCCCTCGCTCCCACAAGGAGATTCCTACCAGGACAAGCAGCCCTGGGCCCAGGGCTGCCATTTCCACCACCTTCCCCCCGGGTCAAGCAGCCCCTGGCTCCCACAAGGAGATTCCCAGCAGGACAAGCACCCCCTGGCCCTCGCACGGAGATTTCCAGCGGGACAAACAGCCCCTGGCCCAGGGCTGCCATTTCCACCACCTTCCCAGCGGGACAAACAGCCCCTGGCCTTCACACGGAGATTTCCAGCGGGACAAGCAGCCCCTGGCCCAGGGCTGCCATTCCCAGCACCGCTCCAGCAGGTCCAATAAGGCCACAGGAAGGTTGGGCAGCGCAGGCAGCAGAGCAGGAGCTGGGCGGGCGCAAGGGGAAGGCTCCAGCCATGGAGAGCGTTTGCCTTCTATGGAGATCTGCTCCTGCTCTCCTGGCACGGAGGAGAGGCCTCAGCCTCCACAGCCGCTGGGAAGGGGGAACAAAAACATCCAAAAAAGCTCAGGGCTGCCCTCGCAGAGGCCTCCGGCAGAGCTTCACACCACCAACCCCCCACAGCACAGGCACGGCCAGGCCAGGGCTTGCCCTGCTCCCGGGGGGAGGGAAGATCCAGCTCCTGGTCCTCAGCTGCATCCCAAAGCAGCCTGCATCCTTCCAGCCTGGGAAAGGGGGCCAGGCCTGCAGCATCCCACACCATTCCCACAAGAAAACACCAAGACCACAGAAAAAGTCACAGCAGCCTCTGGGTATATATATTTTTTTTTTGGTTGCATTTCATATATTATCCAGTTTCACATTCTCATAGGATCAGCAATTATAGAGCAACTTATTCTCAAATCTTTTAATACAAGCGAGACAGCCATGGTCAGATAATACTTAAAGCACTTCAATACCAAGCAATAAGATGCTAAAACAAAAATTGCACAATTTCTTGTTTACTATGCCTGACTGAATCATTGGTACAGAAGACAACCCTTCTTTTTCAAGCTTTTAACTAAACATTAACTTATCTTACAGGATTACAATTTCTCTTTAATAATAATAATAATAATTAATTGCACACAAACACACAAGAAATTCTTTATGATGCATAAATATTTCCTTATTACACATGGTACAAAAATACTCGTACTTTTTTTTTTGTTCGGTATTCCCATAAGGATGGCTGATTATTTGGCAAGACTGGATGCTCTCCAATCAGAAGAATGTGGGGAAAAAAAAAAAAAGAGGTTAGATATTTTACAGCTGTTCTATATATAGAAGTTTGAAGAAGGAAAAAAATAATACAATAACCCTGACTTTAAAACAAGCAGAATGGATGAGAACAAAAACCCAGTGCATCATACTTTAAAAAAAAAAAAAAAGAAAAAAAAGAAAAAAAAAGGCATTTTTCAAATTTTTCTGGTCATCCTGGGGAGAGGAGGGTGGAGGTGGGAGAAGGGGTGAGACAAGGACAGTTAGTATTTCTCAAAGCCAAGTCTTCACCGAAGCAAGAGGAAAACCTTGATGGATCAATCCGTTGGGCCAAGACCTGTTGCTAACGGTTACACAAACGCTAGAACAAACAAACTTACACTCACACAGACACAAGTTAAGTGTTTTAATTCATGCCAGAAAACATGCAAAACCCATGTTGCCTTTCGATTCCTTCAGCCGAGCTGCCCCCGGGGCAGGGGGAGCCTGGGGACGCCCAGGACCTGGCCCCGGCTGGGTTTCAGTGCAGCCGGATGGCAAAGCTCAGGCAGGGAGGAGGTCCTGGGGATGGAGGGAGGGATGGATGGAGGGAGGGATGGATGGAGGGAGCACACAGCCCGTGGCTGGGGCCACGATGCCTTCACAGTCCAGGGAAAGGGGGGCTGGCAGCCCCGGGGGCAGCACGGCGGGGCCGGGCGCGTTGTCCTCTGGCCACGTACCAAATCCAGAGGGGGAGCGATCGTCCCTGGCACATCCCTCTGTGGAGAGGCAGGGAGGAGGAACACAAGCCCAGGAGAGACACTGTGGGAGAGGAGCACGGTGAGCAGGGCCAGCTGGACCCCTGTCCTGAGGGTCCCCCACAGCCTCCACCCCAGCCCAGGGCTTGGGGGTCTCCCTGCTCCCGTCCAGGAAACCCAACCACATCCCTGGGTGGGTGTTGGGGCTGAGCCCAAGCTCCCATCCCACCTCCCCCCAAGAGTCCAAGGAGCCCAAGGAAGAGCAAGACAAAGACCTGACTCCAAGAGTAATTAATTACTTACTAATGAACTAACAAAACTGACGAGACTTCCATCCTTGCTGGGTAGCTTCAGAGGGAGGGTACCAGCGCATCTGGAAAAGAAAGCCATGGCAGAGGTCCATGATCCAGGATCACCTCAGCCAGAGCACAAACCTTCAGCTCCTTCAAGCCATGTGCAAGGTCCACGGAGCAAAAATGTCTCCAGCACGGGAAAGGAGGCTCCAGGGTGAGCTCCAAATACTCCTTGGATAGCTCCACCCTCAGCCAGCCAAAGGAGGCATCTCAAGACCACACATTAAAACCAGACAACCTCTACAGGACATGTAGGGGGAAGAAGTGGCTCATCTACTACAGCAGATGCCCACAGAGTTTTCCAAGCCCCAACTCTGCTACCAGGAGTGGCTCCAGGCAAACCACACCATGGGAAGAACTTGGAAGAGCTGCAAACCAGCAAGACTTGGAGGCTTCCCTTGGAAGCCTTGGAGGCAGGTGGTCACTGCCACATCTATTCCTCAGACCTGCTCCTTGCCAAGGAAACGGCTGGATGGGGACCTAACAAACAAACAAGCAAGGGACAGTAGCTGAACAGACACTTTCCAGCCCCTCAGGAGACACAGTGAGCTGGCAACACCCAGCCCCAAGCCTGGGACATCCACATGGTCCCATCTGGTCAGCAGGGCCAGTGTGTCCAGCTGGGCTGCATCAGCAGCTCCGAGCCTGACAGCAGCAGGAGACAAGCCCATGCCACTTGACTGAGCACAGATCCAGCAGCAGGAGCAGCAACCGGAGCTTGGTCCTGCTCCTGGAGCACAGCAGCCACCCCCCACTCCTCCCTCCCCAGCTGCCAGGAGAGAAGCACAGCCTCAGCACGGTCAGGGCTCTGGGAACCAGCACAATGATGGACTTGGTTCTAAGATGGGGAGAAAAGTGTCAGAAAACCCCCTGGAGCCCCCTGTGAGCCACTCCCCTTGTCCCATTCATACTGGCACAGCTGTCCCCTCATCCAAACAAGCCTGGCTCGATGCTCCTCTCCCAAGGACGTGCAGCACACTGCCACAACCTCTGCACTGGCCAAGTTCTCCCCCCACAGGCATTGGGCTATGGGCCGTGAGAAGGTTCCTAAATGAGCCCTGCCAGTCAGCAGAAGCTCTGTCCTCACAGGAGCCCCTCATCAGCTCAGAACAAAGCCAGTCTGAACAAGACTTGAACAACCTGGTCTAGTGGAAGATGTCCCTGCACATGGCATGGGGGTGGAATGGGATTGGTTTAAGGTTCCTTCCAACTCGAACCATTCCACGGTTCCATCATCTGCTGGACTCTTGCCAGACACCTTCACAAGGCAAGTGGGTGCCACTAAATCAGCTCCCAGCTGGCTCCATACCTCACTCCCTGGCACAGCATCCCAGTCACTCCAGCCATGGCAATCAAGGGCATGGAGACCCTCCTCCCCAGTGAAGGGTCCCACCTGGTGCCAGCACCAAAGTGCCACCCAGAGTCTCCTTTCACTTCTCCTTTAGCCTGGGAGAGGGACCTTTGCTGCCCAGTCAGGGCCACCACACTGTGCAGGAAGGCTTGGCATGGGCAGCAGCATCACTGACACCTTACAGGGCCACCACAGCAGCTGCCAGAGCAAGGACAGGGGTTTCTTGTGCCCTGTCACCAGGAGGTGCTTGCTCAGCTGAGCCACATCTCTGCAGCCGTCCTCCCTGGCCAGTGTCTCCCCCTGCACACCCTCCCCTCCACAGCTGGAAGCAGTTTCCTCCTGCCCAGCAGGAAACTCCCCCTTCCTTCACAAGGCTGCAAGAGCTTAACCCTGAGAGCTGCCTCTGCCCCACGCAGGCTGGGGAAGCAGCACAGCCAGGCCATGCACAGCCAGCCCAGCCTGGTGCCCTCCATCCTGCCTCAGAGCCACCTTCTGCCCCCCCTGCAGAGCCTCAGCACCTCCACTTTGAACAGAAGTCCTGGTTTGCTCTTAAAACACGCACTGTAGCTCTGCTCTGAGCTAATCTGCTGGTAGTTCATAGCTAATAAACCATCAGTGCAGTGGACCAGCCCTCCTTGCCTTCCCCCTGCAGGTCTGCAATGCTCACACACCAAACCCAGCCAGCCTGACCCACCGTGGCCCCACAGGCCAGCCCTGCATTCAGAGGGTTCAGCCTGGAGCCCTGCAGGAGCTGATACAGATGTGACAATCCTGGGTACAATCCAAGGCTCTGACATGCTGGGAATGACCTGCCAGGCCTTTACAGCCTACAGAAAGATTAAGGGCTTGAAGGGATGAGGCAGGAACTCAGTAGGAGGGAGGTTCCCAAAGCCAGCAGAAAACACTGGAAGCTGTGGATCAGAGCAGATAGCCAAGAGGACACTCTGTAGGCAGTTTTCTCTTCACACCCCTCCAAATACTACATCCATCAAGGAGGAAGCTGAGAACTGATGGAGATGCTCAGCACTGGGTGAGGAGAGCACAGCAAGAGAGGCTTTTACTGGAAGGGACATTGTTGTTTCTGGAGAGGCATTAGCTCACAATTGGAAAGGAGTCTGGTCACACCACCAACACATCTCCTGCTCACAGGGATGAGGCAGCCACTGCTGGCCAACTGCTGCAGCCTCATGCTGCTGCCTTCAACATCTGTCCCAGAAACAGCTGGAGAGGAGAAATGTGTGCCTCTGCCTGCCACCTCCCAGAGGCCAAGAACCTCTCCCTTTCTGCAGAACAACACCAGCAGCTGCCTTTTAAAAGTCACAATGAAATCATAAATGGGGCAGAGAAACGGCCCATCAGAGCCTCACTCTCCTTGTCAAAACCTCCTTTGTCTCTCTTTAAGTATCCAACTGTCCACCATCCCCAGGGAGGGCAAATCCTTCAGAAGAGGGGAAACAAGGACCAAACACACAGGTCCCTCCTCAGAGCACCTTTGGCTTGGAGGACCTGCCTTTCCTCCTTAGTTACCTCTAGGTCTGCAGCCAGCCCCAGCATCTCAGAGCTCTGACCTATCTCTACAGCTGGAATGGTCTCCAGGGATGATTCCCTCTGCTCCTGGGAGCTGGTAGGATCCAACCAACACATCCAAGAGCTGCATCTCCCTGCCAAGCTGCTGAAGAGCAGAGCAAACCCTCACTGGTGCTACTGAGATGCTCAGCCTGGCAAGCCAGGAGCAGCTGGCAGCAGCAGCACAGGTGTGAGCCCTGGCAGCCCCCACGAGCAGGGAGAGCTGCTCTGCTCCATCTGGACACAGCCCATGGAGTGTGACCAGGCAGGCAAGGATGGCAGCACCTCACCCACTGGTGTGTGCTGGACACACACCCACCCCAGAGCGGGCACTGCACCCTGGCACCTGCTGGAGGGCCCCTCAGGGGCTGGGGTGGGGCACAACGAGGTGTGGGACCAGAGCAGCTCAGCCCAGCACCAGGAACTCCTGAACTCCAGATGCAGTGGGATCCAGCCCGTGCATCTCCACAAGGAGCTCTGGTGAGGGAGAGCTGGAGGATCAGCACACCATCCACAGCAAGGCAAGGAGCACCTGGCACAAGGCAGGCACTGATCCATCCTCTCAGGAACATTTTAACAGGTGCATCCATCCATCAGTCCAACACCTTGCACTCCTATGGCTCAGGGAGACACACCCCTCTCTGAGACTGCAGCAAGGAAGCATTTCCCTTTTTTACAGCAAGTTGTGTTGCTTTTTTTTGGATTGAGCCAACCAGGGAGAGCCACTGTTGGCCACAAGTCTCTTCTGATGGCCCAGCAGTCCCTCTCACCACCACTTAGCCAGGACAGCTGCTCAGAGCATCCTCTGCTTGGAGCATGCCCAGAGCATCTCCTGCCTGCTTTTCCCTGGCTAGGAGGGAGCTGCTGGCTGGGGGCTGCTTGGCCAGCTATGCCACCACTGTCACTGGAGTTTAGAAAGTTGCCACAACCATGAACATCTTGAACAGGAGGCTTCACATCTCTGGGAAGCATGGAGCTGGCCCAGAGAGAAATATTCCTGGGAAGTCCCTACAGGACAGCACCAACAGGCAACGAGTTATTAGGGACAGAAAATTCATCCTGTCTCCAGTCTAGGGTGGGTCTGTCAGCTTTTCCCTGCAAAGGAAAGGGGGTTGGGACCAACCTCTGCTTTCATCAATGGGATCTGCCTCAACCCAGCACCAGGAAGTCCCAAGGTCCTTCCAGGCTCTTGCACAGCCACACAGCCATGATCCAAGACTGCTCCCTCCACCCACCACTCACTTGGACAGGTCCCAGAACCAGAGACCCATCTCTGCCATCTCCTCAAGGAGATGCTTCAAGGGAACCTTGGGCAGCCCCCTCCCAAAAAGACTGGCATCTCTGTGCCCTCAGGCCTTGAGCTGCCTGACTGCCTTGGAAACACCTACCAGGGACTCCAGGCACCCAACACATCAGCTGTGTCCCCAGCAACACCACATGGCCATGTTTTTATGGGCCAGTCCTGCATCCAACCTGCTTCCCACAGCAAGTCCTGCCCAGAGCAGAGTCCTGCCCCCATGGGTGCTGCCACAGCTGGAAGCATCTCTGCAAAAGAGTTCTAGAAGCATGGATTGCCCTGGCATTCCCGGCTGCCCACTCACAGCCTGGTTTAGGGGCACCCCAAACCAGTGGCTCCACCTCAGAGACACAGTGCAGCCCAAGTCCCTCCTACCAGCAATGGACAGCTCTGTCTACCAGGACCAAGCAGAACCAGACAAGCTGTGTCATTGTCTCTATGCCTGTGTCAAGCTCTTCCCATCTTCCCAGGAGGGGAAATTATAACTCTGCACATCTTTGCACCTCACAGTTTTCTAAGGGCAAAGGCAGACCTGGGCCTTCATCTTTGGTGGCTTCTTTTCTTATCATCAGTTCCACAGAGAGAGGAAAAGGTCTGCTCAGAACCACTGCTGGAGAAGTGAACCAGGGCTCATTTCCTTCAGTCAAACATCAACCATCCCCCTGGCAACCAGTCCCAGGCCCTTCCCTCTTCCCAAGCTCCCAATCTCCTACACCACACACCCCTCTCTCCCAAGGCTGCTGATTCCCTCATTACAGCTCACACAGCCTGGGTCCTGCCTGTGATTTCAGGTTGCAAGAGAGAAGCCAAGCTCCAGGAAGGAACTGGCTCCATTTCCATTACCAGAGAGGAAAGCAGTGAGATTAGACCCACGATCAGGGCAGGGTCTGTCCCGGTGGGCGATTCTGGAACAAAGTGACCGGCAAGTGCTGTTGTCTACGGTGCCCACTAAAATTTAGTCGTGTGCTATCAACTACCACGTCACTCACCTCCCCCACCGTGTGCCAGGAGTGAGGTCAAGGTGTATTTCTGGTTGCCCTTGAAGGGGTCAAGGTTGGGGAGAAACCAGGTTTCTTTCAGGCTGAGTGGCAGGGTGGTGTCTGCCCCAGCCCAACCGGGCTGCTCCCCTCCCAGGGCAGGGCCTGGCCGAGCCTGGCTCAGCTGGAGGAGCTGATGTAAGATGGTGCCATGCTGTGTGCGCCATGTCATGTGCTGCCAAGTTGGAGATGTGGGTTAGAAAGAAGGCCTGGCATCTCATTCCCCAGGCTCTGGTGGGTGGGTAGCGTGAGGCCCATGCACTGGGTTGCCAAGGAGATACGGGCTACAGAGATGGGCAGAAGCTTGCAAATCCCACAGTGCACCTTGGAGGAGAGATGGTTACCTTACCAGTCTTTCCAGACGTGGCTGCCATCATGCTTAACACTTCTAGGAATGGAGCTGTGGTACAGCCACTCCACTAGCTGCAATAAGGCATCACTAGGGCGTCCCATCTCCAGGGACAGCTCTGAGCTTCGGGGCTAGCCTGCGCTGGCATCATGGCTGGAGTTCACTAGGGACATCAAAGGAGGGATTTGAGAGAGGGTGGGAGGGAGGGAAGGCAGATGGGACAATCTTAAAGTCAGCAGAGTCCCCGGTGGGGCAGGGTCAGGCTACAGTCCCAGCTGCAGCCGCCTGGTGCCTGCCTGGAGCAGTGCCAAGGCAAGGACGAGCCAGGAGCAGCAGCCATCGCTGGGAGTGGCTTACCAAGGGTTCCCGAGGCCAGGCCAGCCTCTCACCACCTCCTGCCCCTCATCCCTCCTGCCAGCCCTCTGGGCAGCTCTTCAGGAGGCCAGGCCAGGCCACCTCCTCTCCCCGTTGCTGAACTCAGCTCTGCAAGAAGATGAGCCCTTCAGGTTTAAATCTCTTGTGACAAGATCTTGGTTTAGCTACATCCTCCAACTTCTTGCCTGCCTCAAGGCTGATCACTGTGGAGCTGCTACAGCTCTGGCCCTCCCCATGGATGCCCTCCAGCCAACACCAGTCCAGCAGGAGGAAGAACTGTGACTGTTCTGGGGAATAACCCATAAGCCCACCACTTGAGTGAGCCAGCCCCTCCCAGTGAGGGCAGAGGGCTCAGCACACGGGACTAAGGGCACAGCTTTTAGCCCAGTTTGTGAGCAAAAGTCATCTCCCTGTTGTGCTCCACCCTCAGCTCTGCAAGGGACAGGGCTCCAGCCCAGAGCTGCCAGCACAAGTAATGTTTAACCCCACTAAATTTTATTGGTAACATATCCTGTGCCAGGACATGCCCCTGCAGGGTCAGCACTGGCTCAGCACAGCCAGGAGCAGCTGGGACTGCCCAGCAGCTTCTTTGGAAAAGAGCTGGGTCCAGGCACAGCCTGGAGGGGCTGCACTCCCTAAGGCTTGGAGCCCATCACCACCCATGGACCCCCTTGGGCAGGGAGCTCTACCTACACAGGGAGCTCCTCAGGTCTTAGGATGAGGCCAGATGACCTCTTTAGAAACCAGCAGCTCACTAGCTGGAGGGCAGGAACTAAGACCCCAGAAGGAAAAGATGTAGCTGGGGGCCTCCTTAATACCCTCCAGAAAAGTGGACTTTTCTCCCCAACTTTGCACCGTAAAGTTTGGGTGTCTAAGCCTCACACTCAGGGTCCCTATGCAGTCACCAGTGACCACCCTGGAAGAAACTGCAGTGAAAGTTTCACCTCCCTCAACCAGCTCAGCCAGGCCAGAGGGGTTGATTTTTCCTGGTCCTCCCTTCCAGGGACAATTCAGCCTTGACCACCACCCTACACACACAAGGGGCAGGAAGACACTTCTCTCCTGGGCCACTGAGGAGCACAGCACAGCCCTGTAGTTGTGGGCACCACCACCAACTTCTGGAAAACACCAGCAAGCACAACCTTCCCAGTGAAGAAGCAGCTTGGCTCTGGAGGTCCTTGGAAGAACATTCCAGTGCTCTTCCTGGTCCTGTCCTGAACCCCAATGTACTTCTCCCTACCCCCCTGGAGCTTCAGCCCAACAACAGCTCACCTGTAGAAGGGCAGAAGGAGAGATCTGCAGGTGTGAGAGGGGCAGGACAGAGGACAGGAGTCTGCATCCACCCCACATGGCATTTGGGAAGCAAGCTTGGCTTGAAGCTGGGCAGTTACCATCACAAAGCTTGCAGGAAGCAACAGGATGCCCAAGGGCCAACACAGCTCACTGCCAGCCAGGACAGCAAGGTGAGAGGACACAGCTCCTCCTGCTCTCCACTTAAGCAGGGAAGAGTAGGAGTCAACACCCTGCCTGGCAGGGCAGAGAGCAGAGGTTAAGCCCCAGTGCTCAGTCCCACTGCCCCAGTCTCCCATGGCACCACAACGGGAGCAGACACAGAAGCAGGCAGAGCACAGCTGGCTGGTCACACTGAGCAGGGAGGGACAGGGCTTCAGGTTCTCCTGGACAAGTGCTTCAAACCAAGCACCTCAACTTGGAATTAGGACACTGCTACTCTGTTTTGACTTTCCCTTTGCATGTTGATGGTTTCAAGGTTTATGTGGTCTCTGTACATTAAAGCTTCTGTCAGACCAGTTCAGGCATCTCTACATTCTCAGCTGTCAGACCTGGGGACACCAGGCAGCTGCTTGCACCACCATCTGCACTTCCAGGGGCTCATGCATGGCATGACTCTCCTCACTGGCCTGTACTGAGGGTAGCTAACACCCTGCTCCATCACAACTCCTCACTCTGGCAAGGCCCTAGTCACTTATCTCCTGCAGGACACCCTCCTCCAGCTTTGGAAGTAGGCGAGTCATTAGGCTGAGCCCCTCTGCTGCTTTTGCTGTGACTCGGGATGACATTTCATAGCTATGTCATGTGCAGGAAGCGTTTCCTCCCTGCAGTCCCTCAGTGGAGTTCTCTGGCCATAGGGGGCAACAAGACCAGCCAGAAATGGAGCCCTGACTTCCTCCCACCCGCCTGCCCCTGCAGGGTCAGAAATCCTCAGCCAGCCCTGCCTGCTCTGGGCTGCACAGAGCCCTGCTCGGGCTGCCCTGCAGCGGAGCCGAGGTGCAGAGGGCAGGGTCTGGGCGGCCGAGCGGAGGCCGCGGGGACGGAGCCCCGTGGCGGGGACACAGGAGGGGCCAGCCCCGGCTCGGGAGCGGGGAGCGACTCACCTGAGCGTGAAGAGCGGCGGCCGCGGCAGCCGCTGCCGGGTACGTGAAGGCGGCGTGGGGAATGGCAGGGGTCAGCTCCGTGGTGTACAGCGGGTAGGGAGCCCACGCCTCCGGGGACGCTGGGATGAGAGCCGCTCCAGTCAGGTCATCTACAGGAGGAGGAGACAAGGGACAGCGTCCCAGGACTGGCCCCAACAGCCTGCTCTGGGGACAGGCTCTGGATTACCCACCCCAGGCTAAAGTTTGCGCTGCCATCTTGATCAGCTGCTCCTCCAGCCTCCCAGCCTCGACAGGAGAACCCAGGGATGTGTTGCATTACAGCCCCACGTGGGCTTTGGACACTGGTCCACACAGCAGCCACAGGATGCAGGACAGGGGGCTCAAAGCCCCCTGACATTACAGGTCACCCCATAAGCCTCAGCAGGGCTACTCAGCCCACCAGGCTACATAGAGGGTGAATAGCACAGGACTCATCCTTTATGCTTCACATTTAGGGATGCTTTAAAAGATTTATAGTATCACTTGAGCTACCAAATGCAAATGTCATGTCTCAACAGTTCTGTGCTGCCCAGATGCCTGTGACTCTCCTGTGGCTCCAACACCCTGCTGGCCTCCCTGCCCTGGCAGATTCCAGGCAAAGCAGAGGTGGGTCTGGGCTCCTTTCCATTCTCAGAGTTGGAGCCATGACCCCCAAGCCCCTCCCAGCATACTCACAGGGGTCCCGTGCAATGAAATGTGCACCCAGGGCAGGGTGGATGTTGGTGGGGTTCGGTGTGGCCATCAGCTTGCTCTTGGCCATCTTTGTGTTGGCTTTAGCGAACTCTAACCGCAAGGTCTGCGGGTTCTCGGGGTCGAAGCGGATGCCCTGTCACAGGAGAGAGCACAGGGGCTTCTCAGAGGTGAAGCTCCAGCCCAAGCACGGGCTGTGGTTACTCATGGAGCAAAGGCCAACTGAGGAACCAAGGCCACCACTCTGCAGTCACATGCCCAGATTTTTGTCACCTCACTGCAACGCTCAAGCTCCCACGTGCTTTTATTTTTACTCTTAGCTGGCCAGGACTAACGTTAGACCCAGAAGCACTTGTTTCCAACATGAGGGACACAGTTCTGCTCCTTATGTGCAGTTCACCAACCACTACAGCAGGGATGGATATCAACATGGTTCAAGAAAGGTCTGTCTGCTGAAGCTGGGGTCTATACTGGAGTTGGAATAATCCCATCTGTGTGGGAGTTCCTATCTACACCTTCTGCCAGCCTGAGCAGAGGCACTAGCAGGTGTCACAAAGCCCAAGGCAAGGTCTACAGCACAGCAGAACCATGTCTTGCTGACCAGATCCCACCAACACTCCTTCAGGATGGGGATCATTTTGGGTGTCCTTTCCACACTGACCATCCTCAAGATATTTTCTTGAGTCACAGCAGGTCTCCACACCCTCAGAGCTGTCTTGCAGTGGTCAAAAACTACATAGAGACAGCTTGCATCCATTTGCCCAGGCTGATGTCAGCCTTGAACAGCTCTCCTGCCTCCCTGCTGGGACGCTGCAGGACCATTTCACTTCCACAGTCCAGGGCACAGCTGGTAAATGCCCTGCCTGTTTCTGCCCTCACTCTGGGTCCAGCAAGGCCCATGGCCCAGCCCTGCAGCCCCCCAGCACTTTGGGTACTCACATTCAAGGCGTTCTTGGCTGCTTCAGCGCCAGCCCGGCTGTCGAAGGTCACAAAACCCACTGGCTAAAAGAAACAACACCATTTCAGTTTGGAAGACTCTTCCAGCTCCTCAGGCTGCCTTACCACCCCTCTGTCCCAGACAACAGCAGAAGAGACCATCCTAAGCTGCAGAGGGGCTTCAAGCAGAGCTTGGGGCATTGGCTCAAGATTCCTGCTCTGATCTGCTCCCACCACAAATGTTTTGGTGTTCTCATGTGTGGGGACACTGCTCACCCTGACAAGCCCCCAGCATGGCTACCCCAGCCTTGATCAGCATGGGAGAGAGGAAGGCTGATGGCAGCACAAGGTTTGGGGCTGAAGCCTCAGGGCTCACCCAGGGCAGCAGGAGGAGACATGGAGACATTCAGAACATGCTGGAATGTAGAACCCCTCAGTGTGGCTGCTGCTGGCCCAGACAGTGCTTTACACAGTGGAATGGGATCTGTCCCCTCTCCCCTCCTGGCATGTCCAGTTTGATAGCAAAAGCCAAAAATACCCAGGCTGGAAGGAGGTACCTGCTTTGAAGTCAGCTTGATCAGTGACCCCTCATAACCCTGCAGGAGAGAAGAAACAAGTGAGTGTCAGGCTCCTGAGGAGGCCACGCTGCAACCAAGACACAACACGACAGCTCCAGGAGTTCCTGCAGCACCAAGCCCTCCACAGGGCAGGGGCCACAGTAGAAACAGGGACAATAACACTTCTTTTCCACCAGTAGAGAAGACTGGGAACAGAGGAGGTATTTTAGCTCTTCCATCCTGGCCCTTTGGGGAAGAATTCAATTTTCTAGATCTTCATCCAGCTACAAAGATGAGCATCCTGCCCTGGCTAGTGCCTAGAGGAAGCAGAGCACCCTCCCTGTGCTAGAGGAGTGCAGGGAAGGGAACCCCACTTGCCCTGAGACAGCCTGGAGAGTCTGGGGGATGAGGGCACATCCTCAAGGAAGGGCTGGTCCAGCTGAGCAGCAGGGCTGACCAAGCAGGTTTCATCAAGCTTAGAGGCAGCACAACTCCAATGGCAGGCTCCAGCTGGAGGTTCCCAGTTGAGCACAAGTCATGGGATCCTGTGCTGGCTTCAGGTTCCCATGTCATCCCTACTTCCCCTGACAGACCTTTGGTGCCAGGTCCTCCACAAAGCAGCATCTTTCCCTCCAAAAACCAGATCTGAAGACTCCTTACCTTGAATGGCCGGAAGAGAAGGTAGAGCTCTCTGGGTTTGATATCCACAGGAAGGCCACTGACAAACAGCGTCCGTACCTAGGGGAGAGGCCGAGCAGCTGTACTGACAGGAGAGGTTTGCTGCCCGAGCAGCAGCACAGAGCACAGCCCAGAAGTGCACTAAAAACAGCACACCTTGCATCAAAGGTCCACTAACCCTTCCCTGCATTAGGGAGTGTTGTCCAGGATAAAACACACCCAGCTCTTTGACCTCCACCTCAAAGGATTGATGTCCTTACAAAACCTCAGGCCCTGGCACCGTGGCCTGGGTTGATGAAGGCATGGACACCAGCCCCACAGCCTGACAGGACCTTGATGGCTAAACTGGCAAGGACCACACACTGCCACAAGAACCAAGTCTGACGCATCCCAAAGGTCCAAATGGACCAGTACAAACCCCAGTTCTCTCCAGATCTTTCTACAGATCACATACTGGATCTCCTCTCTTCAACCTACCCTGGCACTTTAATTCCATCACCAATTCAAAGGCAGCCCTCAATTTTGAGAAACACCTCACTGCCCCTTTCGACTTCTGCAACAGTCCCAGAACATGACTGCAGGAAGATTTTTGGGTCTATCCCACTCCTTCCCCAGCACACCTCAGAGCCTTCAGGAGTGCTCCCATACCCACTCTCAGAGCAGTTATTCTGCTGTGCCCAGCCAAGAGCAGCTGTGCTGGGTCAAACCCCTGTAGCCATCTGCTCTTCCCAGGCTGTTCAAGTCATGGACCAAGTCCAAACACACTCAAGTCAAAGCAAAAAACACAGTGCCAGGGGAGGATTTCAATAGATAATCCATTAAAGTTATAGATAATAGTTCACTTGAATAACCAGGAAGAGAAAGTGCTGAAGGCTCATGGCCTCATGGCCTGGGAGAACTCTGCTCAACAGTCAGACTCACCATGAGCACCTTCTCCCTGCACACTGCCTGGCACTATTCCCATAGGAAGCAGCTTGATGGAAGTGCAGAGGCTTTTTTAAATCAGCACAGAGCTGGAAAGGGAAGTTATGCACAACCAAAGTCATGAAGACATTCACCTGTCATTATGAACAAGGAGCAGGAGCCCCAAACCAGAGCTCATCTCCTGGCCTGCTTCCAGCACAGTGACCCCATTATGTTTGCAGAAGGGCTCTGCTCCTTTTTTTGTTTTGCTCAGCCATTTCCCCTTCTCCAGGCAGAGTGGGCTGTATCCAAAACCACTTTTACCAAGAATGTGCTTGCCCTGCTCCTGGGCTGGAGGCAGACCTGGAAACACAGGAGCCCCTGCCTCTGTAATTCTTTGGGGGCAGCCAGATAGAGACTCCACCACACAGGGAGGTTTCTCTTACTTACAGATGAAAGCTCACCTCCTTGAGCTCTTGTGCCCAGGACAGTCCTGCCAAGGCAGAAAAATGCCATTCCCAGGGTAAAGCCCCCTAGGATGAACAGTGACTGTGAAAGGCTTGGGGTGCTCCTGCTCTCCTGTGCATGCTGGGACTAAGGGCTGCCACTGTCCCCCACTAGTCAAGTGTGAGGAGCCTTCTCTGGCCCAGCACAGCTCAGGAGCAGAACCAGAGCACCCTTCCCATCCCCTGGCCCTTCAACATGGATGCCTCTACCACACACTCTTGCTTTGCCCTGCCTTGGGAAGCAGGATGCCATGTGGAGCATTCAGGAACACTTTCCAAGCTCAGGCTCAGTCTGACAGGCTCCCCACCATCCCACCCTACATCTGGTGCTTTAAGGCACCACTCCAAGGCCACCCCATGCCTGGACAGAGGGGACAATGCCACTGTTCCCTGGCTTGCTGCCTGCCTCAAAAACCTCAATGCTTGCACTTGAGCATGAGCTCCACAGAGCGTTCCCAAAAGACCCACAGCCATCTCTTGCAGGGGAGGACTGCAGAGTGTGGTGGCACACATGTGCCTCAGCCATGTGAAAGCATTGTCCCTTTTCAATATTTCAGGATCCAAGTGCGCTCAGCCCCCAGAATGGATTTTTCTTCCGAGCAGACAGAAATCCACATCCCTGTTGGGTCTCTAAATGGCCCCGTGATGCGGCACTCGGTAACTCCTTGCGACAGGCGCGACTGGAGGGAAGATGCCTGGTGGCTCAGGGAAGGGGGAGCCAGAGCTGGAGCCCTCACATCAGCCTGAACACAGCAAGGCAGGTGCCCAGGAAAGCTCTTTGTCAGAGGTAACAGGCTCCCAGTGCCAGCCCCATAAGTTGCTGCCAAGGACAGGAGCAAGAAATCTCCTCTCGCTGACCAGAAGTTTCCCTTGGCCTCCAAGTCCTGTTTGTCACCTCCACAGCACTGAAAAGGCATTGGAAAGCCAAGCCACAGCACCCAGCAAGGGCTACCATTGCTCCAAAGCCTGGGCAATTCCAAATGCCACCAGCCAACCTCTCCAAAGAGGGTCTCAAGACAAACTAAGGAAGCCCCCGCTCAGAATGGCTTGCTGGAAGCAACAAGACCAAGCAGTTGGCTTTATCTCAACAATTCAGCACATCCATAAGTGATCTAGAGAAGGGTAAGGAAAGAGGGAGACCAAGTTATTCAGTGAAGGGAGGGTGAGGCTGGTGAGAGACCTGAGCAATATTTTCAAGGGACAGAGTGAGCAAAGCAGATTTAGGTTACCCCACAGGAGAAAATCAGGAGGCAGGTCACCAGTCTGAGCCTCTTGTGCACTGTGGGCAACCTGGCCCAGCCTCTTCCCCTGCTCCCAAAAGAGAGGAAGCTGTAGATGAGGGCAATGGGGTCTAGACAAGCATCTTGCAGTGGATTAACCAAACTGGGATTCTCCAGTCAGCCCAAGTCCTGCAGGCTTTGAGAACCCCATGGTACCACCCAGGGCTGACAAATCCAGGCATCCAGCCCTTACATTCAACATGCCACAACAGGATCACTTCTGCTAAAACATGCCCTACTTCAAATCCCTGCCAGCAAACACCAAATCCAGCCTCCCCACAGTGCATCTGGAAAAGGCACAGGACAAAAACCACCAAACCAAACAAAAACACCATCAAAAATGTCCATCCAGGGCTGGATCAGGAACTGCCTGGGCCAAACTACATGTGCAGACATGCAGCAGGAGCAGATGTCCAGGAATGCCACGTTCTTTTGCTCATTCTTAGGCTCTGATGCCAGGTGAGAGCAGCCACATCCCAGCCAGGGATCTGAACTGGACACATGGGCATGGGGGAAGCAGGACAGGGAACAGCTCTCACCTGGGATAGCCCAGTAGGGTCACACTGCTGCAGGCCCTGCAGAAAACATTGCCCCTTCCCCATCCCTGCCCCTCTGGGGATGTCCCCAGTCCAAACACCTGATAGAGATGGAGGAGAGCCATGGAAAACAGGATTCATGCCACGAGGGACAAGACCATCCAGGCCATCTCAGAGAGGGAGGACCCCAGCACAGCTTCCCACCCAGGGGGAGGAGGGACAGGACAAACCATTCAGCCCTGGAGTTGTCAGTGTCAGTCCTTGCACAGCTGCATCTCCCCAAAGAGACACAACCTTGGGCCAGCACAGCCAGGAGCTTCACACCAAGGCTGTAAAGGAGCCAAGCAGCAGCACCTGCCCTGTGCTGCCACAGCCCCAGCGCTGCCAGGAGAGCAGCACAGCTCCCACAGCTCCTGGCCACAGCTGCTTTGGAGTAAGAGCTCTCAAAAGAGAGTTCTGAGCTGCCCTGCAGCCCCAAAAGGGTTGAGTAATGTCAGAAGTGTTTGATGCAAGGGCAAAGGTACCCTGAGGGTGCAGTGATTGGGGTTTTTTGTTAGAACATTGCTCCAAATCCCCGTCCTGGAGCTAGCAAGGCCAACCCTCCCCCCTGGAGAGATCAGTCCTTTAACTACAGCACCCACGGCACAGCTTGGGCTACTCCAGCCCCCAGAACTGGCCTGGTCCTGGATCTATATGTGCAGCACCTGCAGCACAGCAGTGGCTCAGAGACACCTGAGCACAGGTACAGCAGGAATGTGCTCTAATGCCTCCCCCACATTGTGCCATTGGACATTCCCCCTCTCCAGGAAGCCACTCCAGTCTCACACCAGTTTTTCCTAGAAACGAGTCATTTCCCACTAGCTCACACCAATAGACATATTATTGTGAACTAACAGACACTGAGCCTTCTTCCTATGCCACCAGCCCCATGCCACCCTGCCGAGGACCGGGACAAAGCTTTGCCACAGCATCCCAAAGGCACTTCCCACTCCGTGGTGCCAGGAGCTCAGGGATATGGACCACAGGGATATGGACCACAGGGATATGGAGCGCAGCTTTCCCCAGTGGGGTGCCTGCCTGCCATCGGGGGTGACCAGCGAGGCCAGAGGGGGACACAGAGCCCGGTCCTGGTGGCTGTGATGCAGCCAGGGCCACTTGACGCGAGAGCGCTGGAATGCGGCGAGGCTGCGCTGCCCCCGGAGCCGGGACTTATAAGGCACGGGAGCTTGCACAACAGGGCTGAGGGGAGGGGAACACACGGAGCCCACTGGCGGGGCTGAAAAATGGGACAGGATCCTCCCCTCGGTGTCTCACACACGGCCCCGGGGCTGCAGCGTCCTGCCATTGCAACCTGGAGCTGTTTTGGTCCTCAGCACAGCCCCAGGAACCGCAAGGGAGGAGAAAACTGGGAGAGAGGGATGTGTGGTGTGTGCGAGGGACAGCCCGGTAGGCGAGCAGGGCAGCCTCCACAGCACGGAGCAGGAATCCCGGGAGAAAGGGCTTGCAACTGGCTACTTCACTGCTCCATGCCTCAGTTTCCCCTCCACCAGCCAGAAGGGAGGTGGCAAAAGCCGGGGGCTGCTGCGCTTGCAGAGCTCCGGTGTCCTCGGGCAGGATCAGGAGCCGCTCCAGCCCGGATGCCCAGAGCCCCCAGGCACTGGGAAGATGCTCACCCATCCCCGGAGGGGAAAGAGGGCCCTGAACCTCCCCCAGCGCTTGAAGCAAGGCAGCCTCAGGCATTTCCCTCCAAAAACAGCCTTTTGCACAAAAGGCACACGAGGACCAACGTCTCCCCCACCCAGAGGGAAGAGGGCTGACCACAAGCCAGCCCAAGT